AAAGGAAGAGAACTGGATATTTGCCTTAACAATAAAATGTGGGAGTGGCATATCTTTAAATTTAACAGTTCTTGTTTATCATGAGGACATCACAGAAAAACTCTAAAGTTTTATGGGATTCACCACAGTGGGAGAACTACGTAATCTAAACTCTAGTTTCTGTATTCTCAAACGAAGCTTGTAAGTAGCAGATACAGAAGAAAGTGTGCCACTGTATGAATTACTTATATGGGCAGAATGTTGAGTCTAATACAACTTCAGGGCTGTAGCTAAAAAGAGTTCAAGGGGCCACAAGCGTTGTAGCATTTGGGGTATTATGGCATGAGTTCTTGAACACTCAGTGGGATGAGAGAGCGGTTTTAGTATTTCCAAAGCATAGGAGGTTATTTCCTGCCAGATAAATTTGTTTGTCACAGTGCACCTTGACCCATTCTCATCCGAGACCGCAGGTACCTCTGTGATGTAGGGCAAGACACATAAGGTGACTGAGGGAAACCTCCTGATGCTTGGGCCTCACAGTAGTTAAGCCTCTTCTAACTTATAAGTGTGGAAAGCTAGCAAAGTAATGGGGAGCATGAGTATGGGGAAGTTTTCTTAGTGAAAAGTAAACTTTTCGGTACATCTGTGTGGGCATGAATGCCCGTGTGTGCATGAATGTCTTGCATGCATAGGCGTGCATGAATGTGCGCGGATATGTGTGTTTGCTTGTGTACATGCACGGATGTGCCTGTGTGTGTGCATACTTGTGTATGTATGTGTGTATGAGTAAAGTGTTTGTTGTGTGTGTGCATGTCCATGTGGACATGAGAATGTGTGCGCATGCATGTGTGAGCATGAGAATGTGTGTACATTCACATGTGAATGAATATGTGTTAAAAAGCGACTAGGAAAGGCAAATGGCATATATGACATTGAGTACTGTATTATAACACAGTAAAATACATTCACATGTGTTTTCATTTTCAAACTTAACAATAAATTTGTATAATATTTTCTCCTTTTATAGATGGGGAAATTGAGGTTTCAAGTTGTTAGGTGTGCAGATGACTATGGCTACCAAGCAGCAACGCAGTTGTGGGATGCACAATGTTAATCCTTTGGCTTTGGAATATGCCACAAGTTGAACTGGAGTCTCAGATTTTCTCTTCTTCATTGTCATATCTTCCTGCAAAGAGCAGGAGGCAGCCATGCATGGACCATGACAAGTTTTGCAAAAATTAGGGGCATAATTCACTGTGGGCTTTCTGTCCAAGTTTGATTCTTACAGCTTTATAATATTGGGGAAATATATTACTTCCTTATGTTTCAGCTTCCTAATCTGTAATGTGAGTAAGGGATCTTACTTAGTGACAGTATTCACAGCAGAGTTTTTTTTTTTTTTTTTAAATCACTGGACAGGCAATGTTTAATGTTCAAAAAGTACAGAATGAAATAATTTTATTAGTATTACTAACATTACCATTTTAAAATCACAAGATTTTTAAGATGGAATGACACAGAGAAAATTGCCTAGTAACCTAAATGCTGTTAGGAACAGGAGGTCAAAGATAGGATTGACTTGAAATAACGTGGTAACTTTGGATATTGGCAGAAACACATGTAGTGTATATGATGGAATGCATGGGATAGGCAGGGAAGGTAAGTGGGTAAAAATAGCATTTCTCCGAGGCAATTTATGAAAATATCTACGATCCTAAAGTGTGGGATCCCCCAGTTTTCTTTCCCCAGTCTGTTTTCTGGAACCCCAAGGCTTGAAACATATGTAGCTAAGCTGTTCTTCTCAAACACTTGTCTTCAAAGTTCCTTGTCTAAGCAGGGGATCGGGCACACACAATCTGTTTTTGTGGCAGCGTTTCCGCTATGAAATTATATTTGGGGTGACTTCTAATCCCGTCGCAGACGTCTGCCGCGTGCTGTGACTTGGCATGCACATCTTCAGTGAAGAAGCAATTAAAAACAAATAAAATTGAATAAACGTTTCAGAGAATTGTTATTCTCTGCTTATTAAAAAGGATTCTATTGTTTTATAATTCCAATTTGTTTTGGACTTAAAATTCAAGTAGTCAAATACTGTACAAGGTATAATTATTATAATTATCATTAGGCTCAGAGGTAAGACTCTAATGTCTTACTTCAAGGTTTATAAAATGGCTGTTAATCAAATTTACAAGAATAATTAGTTGTGTGTTTTGGTGATGCTTATAGATCTTGGAATTAAAGGATTTAAATACATCAGTTAGTACAGCTAATATTCTGTGATACATTGTCAGCCATTGACTTGATAAGAGCATTATGCCCCAAACTCCACACAAACACACACCACAGACATGGCATTCCAAGCATTTGCTTAGTCAGTGCTGCTGAGATTATACTAAGAATAACTGGAGACAGAATATCTAAACTTAAGAATTAGATATTATACTGCTTTTGATTATTTCTGATGATGACTTTAATGAGAGTAAGTCCACACAAGCTGTTTAGCACCATCACGCCTGTGACTTTGTTGTATGTATGCTTTTGCTTTGGATAACTTTGTGCAGGGAGTTATTCTCAGAATTATAGCTTGCCTGCAGCCGGCCTGGCAGCTCTTCACTAGATACTAAGTACATCCACAGTTGTGGATTCACTCAGGATAGGATCACATCTGTTTTGAGTCACTACTTCAGAATTTGTATTTTATATTGAGAGGCATTCATATAAAATATTAATAACCCTTCAAGGTGGTTGAAAGTAGATATTTAAAAACACATAGGTATCTGGATAAAGTTTCTATTGAGAGATATAATGAAAATCAAGCTAGTACCTTGCTTTTATAACTTGTTAGGAAAGTGTTAAGTACTCCAGTGCCCAGTTTTGTTAATCTAAGGCACTATGTTAAGTTGTCCTTTTGCTGAAAAAATGGTTCTATCTCAGTATTTACAGGAGAGTAAAGCATAGTATGCCACATGCTTTCCAAAGTAGGGCAGCGGTTAGTGTAAATGAGACGTTTGTTCTCAAAGATTCTACCTTTTCAAAGAGAACACACTACTTCCTGAGATGGACATTAGATGGACATGAAGGGCAGACATGTGGGCAGAGTGGAAGTTAAAGGACATTAATGGCGCTTGATTTCCCAGGTTCTCCCAGGTCTAATTAATATTTGTAAATTTTCACACTTCTTAAAGAGGGCCTGCATAACTTGTGGGGTTTAATGCTCCTCAGATTTGGCTCTCTCTGTGAGTGTGGGGTGTCCCATGCTGGAGAGAATGAGCCCATGAATGATGTATGGGTTATCTTAGGCAGATGGATGAGCAGTAGGGCTGCATAGTTACTTTTTGAAGTTGCATTAGCCCTGTCCTCTAAAACAGGAGAATGGGGATTGAGCATTTTAGCCAGAGTCCTCCCTCTTGATTAGTTTCTTTAGGTGTACAGATTTTAGTAGGTTTATCCTATATTAAATGTCTATATGAGTGAGTATATACCGTGTGTGTCTTTCTGCTTCTGGGATAGCTCACTCAGGATGATCCTTTCCAGTTCCCACCATTTACCTGCAAATTTTTTTTTGTTTGTTTGTTTTTAATTGCTGAGTAGTATTCCATTGTGTAGATGTACCACAATTTCTGTATCCATTCTTCAGTTGAGGGGCATCTGGGTTGTTTCCAGCTTCTGGCTATTACAAATAAAGCTGCTATAAACATGGTTGCTCTGCCTTGCAGACTATCAAAGCAGATGTTGAGACTTATGGCCAAACTTTAGGCAGAATGCAGGGAATCTTATGAAAGAAGTGGGAAATAATAGTTAGATTTGGAGAGGACAGGAGGTACACAAGGAGAGCAACAGAACCAAAAAAATTGAGCTCAGGGGTCTTTCCTGAGACTCATACTCCAACTAAATACCATGCATGGAGATAACCTAGAACCCTACACTGATGTAGCCCATGGCAGTTCAGTGTCCAAGTGGGTTCCATAGTAATGGGAAGAGGGATTGCTTCTGACATGAACTGATTGGCCTGCTCTTTGATCACCTCCCCCTGAGGGGGGAGCAGCCTTACCAGGCCACAGAGGAAGACAATGCAGCCACTCCTGATGAGACCTAACAGACTAGGATCAGAAGGAAGAAAAAGAAACCCTCCCCTACCAGTGGACTTGGGGAGGGAAGTATGTGGAGAAGAGGGAAGAAGGGAGGGATAGGGAGGGGAGGAGGGAGGGAACTAGAGGGGGGATACACAGTAAATAAAGTATAATTTAAAAACAAACAAACAAACAAACAGGAGAACGGAATCTCAGACTGTGCTTTTTTTTTTTTTTTTCTGTTTCCCAATTCTTGAGTGGGAATTGAATCTTACAACCATAGCTGTTTCTGTTTCCCAGCTACTTTTAGTTCCTTGCTTACAAAGGAATTTCACAACACTTTGTTTGGCTGGGGATAGTCCCTCTCCTGTGATTTAAATGTGACAGAAAGCACAGCACAGAAGGTTGAAAATGGAATTATAAATAACTGATGAAGATGAAGTAAATACTATACAATGTGATTAAAAGTGGATGGCTCCTTAAGCCAAACACAATCCCTGCACACTTCCTTGGATGCTTAGTTGCGCTTTAACTGTTTTGTCATTGGTGATTGAGGCTTGCATTTGTTTGAAAAATACTTTTTGATTTAAAAGTATAATGAAGAAAGAGGGAGTGGGTGCATGAGTCTTGAGGAGGAGAGGTCAAGAGGAATGAGAAGGGAAGGCCAAATTTCTATGTGGAGAGAAAGAGGAAGAATGTGAGTGGAGGTTGCTGTCAAGGTTGTATGTGAAAGACTAATTACGCCAACAAGAGGCTGAATGTTTTGCTCTAGCTGATGTGATACTGCCTGCCACATGCAGGGACCTGATAATCTCAGAGGGTTAGTTCTTCATCTATTGGCTTTGTCTGTCCTTGGAAAGAGCTTCAAAATATACAAACTTGGCTTGTGCTCTGAGATGCTTCACCTAAAAATTAATCAAAGTCCTTTCTGCGATAAATTGTGTTTTGTAGCGGCAAGAGATCCTCTGCTATACTGCTGTCCCATCTACAAGAAGCCAGTTCGAACTGACTTGAACTACATTGCGGCTGTAGATCTCAAGACAGTCCAGCACCCTGAACACTGGGTTCTCCGCGGGGTAGCCCTTCTCTGTGATGTCAAGTAACAGAAATGCACCGTCCAAATTATTGTAATCTGTTTCTCTGTCAGTGATGCATAAATCAGACTGTGTTCTGTGCAGTTAACGAGGCAACACAGTCCCATACACTTCCTTCGATGCTTAGTTGCCTTTTACTTCTTTTGTTATTGGACATTGACCTTTGCATTTTTTTGAAAAATAATTACTGATTTAAAAGCATAATTTCCAACCTCCTAGTGAATTGTGGGCATCAGATCTCTAATCATCTATTTTCTTTTTATTTCTACCTGAAGTCTATGTTAAGCAGATGCTATTTCCTCCAAGGGATTGCTTGTTTGTTAATTCTGGTTCTGGTAGCAGCCAGGTTCCCTAAAATAACATGGGGAAGCTTGTGCCAATTTTATTTCTATTGCTTTTTGCTTTTTGCCAGGTCAAGTAGCTTATTTTCAAGGCTTCAAGCCAGTAATTAAAAGATCTTTTACAAAAATCATAGAAAATAGAAGATGGATTAAGATTGTAAATAGATAGCTCAGATGAGCCTGGAATGTGAACACACAGAGTAATATTCAGTCTTACTTATAATTAGTAACAAGGTACTGACTGACGTCTAACAAATGTGTGTGGTATCTATACTCCTGGTATGCTCAAAAACTGTTAGGGCAATATAAATTGATCCAATCTTTCTGTAAAATAATTTAAACAGAGAAAGAAACATAAAAAAAATCATTCACAGGCTTTGCTTCTTATTACTCTATACCAAAGGGGTAAACATACTGAAGGCAAGTTTTATATGAAAAGTTGTTATTTAATAAAGGAAATAAATGGACCTGTTCCAAATCTTCAACTGTAAAGCTATGCTAACAGAAACCAGGAGGTATTAGACAACTATAAAATGTGGTGTTAAAGAGTTCTTTAGAAGAAAATGACAAGCATACTAATAAATAAAAAAATACAATTTACAAAATATTGATCTGTCTGCAATTGTAGCTATGAAATAATTTGAATGTGGACAAAAACTAAATAATAATACGGAAAACTAAAACCAGCAATTTAAGATGTAATGGTTAGAAGAAGAATGGGGACAATCAAAGCCCTGGCATGTGTGGGCTTTTATTAATTAGGGAAAATGTTCTCCAAGGATCTCCACATTTATTTTTACTTTAAGTTTTGGTTATAAATGACCTTCTTCCTCACCCATTATGTACTGACCAGGAAACATAATCGGTATTCTGATAAGAATTTTGGTTTAGCTGTAGGTCAGATTACTGAAGCCTCTTCTGAGACAATGGGTTTCCTATGTCTATGGTGGGTGGGGAGGTGTCTGTGAGCCGCCAAGGGTAGGTCTGTGGTCAGCATCATTATTTTATGTTCATTATGCCTGTTTAGTTAGTGTGACTCTGATTGATGGGTGGTACTACTCCCATTGAACAGCTTTGTTTGTATGGATCAATATATCTTTTGATGCTTGAAAAAATATTATTGATTATTTTTATTTTTAAGAACAATTAATAAAAATTAGAGTGTGGTGCAAATTAATAAAAGAATGTTAGTAAATGTCCAAATTGGGATTCTTCATTGTTCTGAAAGGGGATAATTGTTATTAAGAACTCAGAAAAAGTGCTTTCAAAACTGTATTTTATCAAATTTGAAAATTTATAATTCATATGACTTTATGGCACAAACTGTTAGTATAGATTCTTCAGTTCCAGGGACCCAAGGTAGAAAAGGATACTGTACAAACAATCATAAAACACTAACAATGAACTTAACATAGCTGTAAAGCCAGGATGAGGCACAGACCCAGTTCTGCTTGGCTGGCCGCTCTGGTTCCATCCTATTTCTTCCTGCTGATGTGAAGGCACCCAGCATTCTGAATCAGATGTCTGAGGGAGAGCAAAATGTCTGAGTCTGCTGACAACCTATTCCATGGGGCTTGTGTCCTTGCAGAGAGATGCGACCGTCTTTTCCATCGGTGTCACTACTGAGTTATTTAAATTGTGCTTATTTCACAGTGCCTATGTATTAGGTCCTCTTCTCCTCTGGTGATACAATGGATCTAACAGGTATAGATGCAGAAAATAAGCAGTTATTTAGGCATGTAATTATATATAATCTCAATTTTAGAGCTGGTAGCAAGACATGTGTAGGATGTATAGAAAGTGATGTGAAGATTGTCAGTTAAGGGCTGTGAAGGAAATTACTGGACACCATAGATATGAATAACACAGGCTGGCAGAATTCTCACTATGTCTTGGATGAGTAAGTAGAGGCCACACCACCTGTTTCTTAATTTTTGCTTTGTATTGTTGGTTTGAACCCATGAGGAATTACGCAATGCCCCTGAATGAAAAAGTGCTTTATAAAGGAAGTCTTACCTAGGCGAGTGATCATCACTAAGTTGTTCCCCACTGCCCCCAGCTGCTCACCATCTGTGCTAAACTAAGTGTACAGAACAGAACTGAAGTGCTCCTGTAGGCTGTCTTCTTTACTCTGTCTCTTATAAGCTGTTTCCTATATGCCGGACAACAGCTGTACTTTCTCACCTGTCCAATCTACATTGTCCTATGCCCCTCCCCCTGAGTTTTTTCTTGGTTCCTCTTTATCTCTTTGCTGACCCTCAGGGCATCTAGAAATCTTTTAGAGTTGAGACACAAAGTAAGATTTTTTTTTTTTTTTTTTTTATAAAGCACCTTTTCATTCAGGGGCAGATGCATAATTCCTCAGAATCATCTCCCTGAGATTCCTCTGTAGGGGACAGTGACAAAAAGCAAATCAGCCCCGAATTAGGAAGATCATGACCTCATTAGGGGACAAAGAAGAGCTGTGTGAACCTGAACATTGTCTCCTTCCTGGAAGCTGTTTGTCTTTTGATCTTTTTGACCGGTTTGCCATTTGGCCATTTTTGATTGGGCCATGTGGTAGTTTGAATCAGATTGCCTCCCATGGGCTCATATTTGAACACTTGTTTCCCAGTTGGTGGACTATTTTGGGGGAGATTAAGTGGTGTAATCTTGGAGGTGGTGTGCCGCTTTGAGATTTCAACTCTCTGCTTCCTGTTTGTGAATTAGGATGTAAGCTCTCAGTTACTGTTCTAGTGTCACTCCTCCCTGACTGTCTCCATGCTCCCTGCTATGAGGATCACAGATTCTAACTCTCTGAAACTGTAAGTTCCCATTAAACTCATACTTCTGTAAGTTGCCTTTGTCATGGTGTCTTATCACAATGATAAGAAAGCAACTGGGACAGATATTGGAACCATGGAGTGGGCTGTTGCTATGTCAGGGCTGATTGTATTGGCTTGTTTGTTTGTTTGTTTTTCTTTATGTGTGTTTTGTTTTTGTTTTTGAAGAATGTTAAGACTTTGGGACTCTGGACTAGGAAAATTGTTTAATACTGTAAGCAGGCTATAACAGGCCATCCTAGCAGCCAGAAAGACAGTGGTGCTAAGAACCATGTGGACTATAGAGTCCCAGCTCAAGAAATTTCAGAAGGAAATAATACTAACAATCAGGCTAGGTACACAATTCTTGTGATATTTTGGCAAAGAATGTGGTTGATTTCTTCCTTAGTCCTAAAAAAAAAATCTACCAGAGGTTAAATTGAATTGCTTTGACTGATTTCCTTTGCAGAATAGATTATTTTTTTTAAAGAAAACCTAATATTGACTCTGTTGCTTGGATGTTAACAATCACTCTTAATGCAGATCTACAATGAAAAAGAGTGAGCAGGACAAAAAAATACAAAATGCACAATTTGAGAAGATGAAGAACATCAAAAATGTAATTTTGGAGCCAAAGTTTATGCTGAAAAAATTAGGAGAGATCTGATGCAAAATGGACTAAAGACAGGGTGCTCGGAGGGCAGACGCCAAACAGCTAGTCCTGTAACATGTAAAAAAAAAAAAAAAAAGAAAAAATCTAAGGAATCATCTGCTCCTAAAGAGCAACAACGAATCAAAATCTGTGCAGTGTTATTCAAACAGGGGATGAGGTTCCATCCCAAGTGGCCGCGTAAGTCCCATGATTCTGAGAGTAATGAAGGACACAGGAGCACTAAACTCTCCTATGAGTTGTACTGGTCATAGTGGCTTATCACAGCAATAAAGTAATGAAGACAGGAAGGGTAGGTGTGAGGAGGTGACATCTACAGTTTGATCTCAAGGAAAAATGGAAGACGCTCAAACCCTCAAGTGCTTGGACTGCCCTCCTGCTGCCTGCGCTGGTTGGTTTTATTGACATGAGTATGGGAAACCTTCACTGAGAAAACGCCTCTCTTAGATTGGTCTGTGAACATGCCTATGGAAGCACCTTCTTGAGTAATGATTGATGTGGTAGAGGCCAGCCCACCACACGCAGTTCCACTCCTGGTTGATGGATCTGCACTAAAGAAGAAACTGAACAAGCTGTGAAAAGTAAAACAAGAAGCATGGCCTCTGTTTCAGTCATCGCCTCCAGCTTCCTGCCTTGAGCTTCTGGCCTGACTTCCCATTGATGGAATGTAACTTTTAGGTGGAAATAAACCTTTTCCTCCCCAAGTTGGCTTTGGTCAGTGCTTTATTATAACAATAGAAAAACCAACTAGGATGCTCCCTAAAGGGTTTGTGTGAATCCAGGGAGGGAGAAAACTGACACGAACATCTGGCTTGAAGTGGAGGGCAGCAGAGTGTTGCTTTGTCAATGGCAGGTCAAACCTTGTTTTAGCAGGTGCAGAGGCAGATGTGTAGCTGATGGGAATCAGATTTCTAAGTCTTTGGGATGAGGAGTGCTAGATTTTGTCTGCAGTATAATCATCTCTTGAGAAAGAACTCTGTATCAAGAGACATAATGAGATAACCATATATTTTATACCTAAGCAGCCTGAAGATTTAGTCCAAAACCACACAGCACTAAAAATGTTATTATCAATGAACATTTCTTTGAAGTTTTAGTATAATATTAAATTAGATGTAAATACATAATGACAAAGATTTAGTGATGTGAAAATTTTTGTCAGATTTAGGATATATATGTTTGTGAGCAATGCCCTCAAAATGACTAATGCCAGAAAATCAGGAATGCAGTCTTCTTTTTGTCTTTCTGACATGGTCCTCATGTGGTACATAATTACTTCTCCAATTCAAGTAGGTTTTTTGCAGGATTAGAAGTGAATTCAAAATACTTGGTGTAACTATTTAATTTTTATTACTAGCCACTACCAACACATTAGAATAATGTTTTTTCACAGTGATAATTTTCACAGTATGATCCTCCAGATTGGATAAATGCTTTGAAAAATCAACAAACAAACGAGTAGGCTTTGAAAACAGGAAGCGATCGGCCTCATTCTTGAG